GTTTCACAATGAAACAACCTTTTGTGCTCTTATGATTGAATTGTCATGTTCTCATTTACCTGCAAAGTTGCTGAGATTCCATGCTTCAACGATCTTCCCTTAGCACATTGTGTGCAGGAGGACTGGAACTAGTTTGAGCTCTCCTTGCATTTACATACACTCAGGCTCCAAGTTCTGTTTTTCAAAAAGTCGCCTTTGGGTGACCTTCAATTGTAGAAAAATCACCAATTAGTGACCTGTGTCAAAATTTTAGTTGCCAATTATATTTTTCACTCACCATGGTGTACAAAATGCTCACAGCTTGGAGCACAGATACTCTGTAGAAACAAAAGCATTAATGTGTCATGCACATACACACAGTCCGAAGAATTTGGCAAAGGTAAAAATGAAACTTGCACTTAATTGTATCTATACTTTGCAGATCATTGATTCAGTCTCATTGCATAAATTTGTCTTCATTGCAGAGGATTTCATGTTGGATTTAACAGTCTGTGTGCACATGCATCAGTAAATCATTTACATTTCCATACCTGGTACAGTGAACACCCATCCTATCTTGAAACAGCTGTAAGTCAATATAGCACTATAACAGTATAACTTATCAACGGAAAAAAAAAGACACTCCTGTGAGAGACATTTTGGCTTGAGGGGAAGAAACAGGACCACAGATTAGGAGCCTGGGTCGAGTTTTGTAATATTTGTGTTTTTGCACGAGTCTGGGCCTAATTCCCTCTCAAGAAGTCTCGCTGACCGAGTAGTTGTACCGCGTAATTGGTTGCTTCTCTTTCTCAGAACATGTACGCGTCCTAAGGAGGGCCTCTTGTAAAAAGAGAGATTTTTTTAGGGGTGTTGCATGTAGGTTATAGGACCCTCGTTCAGTTTTTAATACGTAATCATTAACAATTACTTCTGATAATTTTTCCCTCTAATTTTGACCTATATTTAGTACCTGTTTACAAAAATATCGCTAGGAGTATTAGTTTTGATCATGATGGTTTTGTTGTGGTAAACAGGATGTCAGCCTTGTTTGCGGAAACGTTTTCGAAGTCAAGGATTATCCAACAACGGCGTTCGTCTTTGAGCTGGCCCCAGGGACTGATGTGGGCCTTGTTGCACGGTAAGTAACTGAAGATGACGAACATATAACGCTGTTTGAGCAAAGAAATCACTTGTAGATTGGTTTCCAGTCACGATTGATGCATATCTCTAAACGAAAAGTAACTACTTGAAATCAAATTTCAATTAGAGCAGCATTCTCCCGTCGAAATATCTTGCGACATAATTTTTATCGATTAAGTTCACAATGACTGGAAAACAAAAGTGTAAAATGCTGAGTATAGCCGCTGTATTACTGAGTGTTATAGCGGGAGCTTACGGTACACTGTTGTATCAAACAATTTGTCCGTGCATGAATGACGGTTCCCGACTTCAACTAGTAAAATGATTGGCTGGCTCACGATGTGGTCAGTCTACAAGTCTTTTTGCTCCAACGGATGTAGATTTCACCAAACAAGATGTTCCTTCCTGGTTATAAGTCTGAAATGTACCAATCGTGGAAAAACAACTTTGTGGCGAAACAACTCGGATATTTACTTTGAATTCCGTGTAAATGCACAGATGAATATTACAAGGGACTGTTTAATTTCCAGATTTTTACACTTCTCACTGTTATCTTAATTCGAACCCACAGCACAATACACAAAGTTTCGTCATATTTTATTCAAGAGGAGGTTGCACATAACCTGCACATAATTCGAGGCGCAAGATGCCGTCCTAGCAATCAAAGGAATGGAATTACGCAAGGCGACCGCGATGTGTGTTCAGTTCTCAGAGTATTCCTCTGGCCAAGGAACCCTGTCCATGGTGAGACAAGTCTCGAAGATGTGACTTTAATATTATTATAAAAAAAGAAAGGTAGTGAAACTTTAAGTTGGGCCCATTCAAGTGACGTTACTTTGTATTATTGTCAAGTTAAACTGATTTTGCTGGTCAAAATGGTTCTAACTCTGTTGTTTGTTGCGAACCCCTAGTATAAAACCTTTCATGTAAACGCTATTTGGTTATGCATAAAAGTTGATTAAGGCATCAATGTGTCGCTAACCACCCATTAAAATTTATATGAAAAGCTTTGAGCGGTTTTTGTATCTCAGTGTTTTCAAATTTCTGGCTTCCCAACTTTCTTGAGTTAATTGTTGATGTTTCTTTACCAGGTGCAAAGGAATTGAGTTCTTACGAGTCTGAAAAGCGACCTATCGCTGTCTACGAGTTCGCTGGTTCTTTGGCAATAGAAAGTAACGAATTCAATTTGTACATGCACAATTAATGTAATTATATATTTTGGGGCACGTATTTTTCAGCCGAATTGCTACCAGGAAACACAACGTACAGTGTTGCTTCTGATTTTACCTACTGAAGCGCGGGAAAATTAACGCGGGTAACCAAGTTGCGATTGGTTTTAAATTTTTATTTTTTAATCTGATTGGGTAGAAAGTAACACGAGTTCTCGGGGACAATTACAGAATGAACTAAAACAAAACTAGAACGATCCTGTCACACAAACTTGTTCTTAACTGATATCTTATTATTTCCTTTTCCAGCAAGGAAAACCTACGAATCATTTACCGAAGAGAAGTTTGTGGAATACATGGCACGAGCAACTTTACCAGAGGAAGAGTTTATCAGGCACAGAGAGGCGATACGAGAATTATTGCACACATAGTGGCTTAATCATTGTTTGCTGATTGTTAAAATTAAATCTTGGGCCTTGTAAATTCTATCTGTATAATTGTAAATAATAAAATGACTTATTTTATTATCCGGAAAAAACAACGACTTTTCAATGACTTATTGGGTATTATAGCTTGTGCGGTCGGCACACGAAGGGTGGAATTTCGAGGGTGAAGCCCAATCATTCAAGATGATAACTGGGTAATTTAGTATCATCAACTGACTTGATAACGTAAATTGGCCACCGTGAAGAGTTTTGAAGCTGACATTTCGAGCGTTAGCCCTTCGTCAGAACGAATGAAACGCTTAACGGTGGCCAAATTACGTCATCAACTCAGTTGATAATACTAAATTACCCTATTATACTCTCCCACCGACGAAGCAACACAGTTTCTTTAGAAACTTACCCCCTTTACTCGTTCAAGATGATATTGAATTCCCAAGCAGTATCTATTTAAGCTTACGAGCAGACTGCAATTATAAGCGCTTTGGCACGGGCGTTGATTTTTTCGCCCGCGAGAAAGTATGGGGCCTAATCAGCTAACACGCTTTACGCTCGCTTCGTCCTTGGCGCTCAAATTTAATCAACTTTCTCCTTTTCTTCCTTCACAGGCAAACCACACTATGTGTTCGTGGTTACTAATAGTTTTCATGAGACGAACTGAATCCATGAGGGTTATGAGTAAAGCTCTGAAAATTACCGATCTGACTTTCATCTTGGTCTGAATATCTCAGTAAAATTAAATGAATTGTTAATCGACGCATTCGTGGTATTTTTTTCGTCTTCATAGGCCGTTTAAAGCGTCTTTTTACGAAATTAATTTTAGACGGAGGCCGTTTCTGCTCCAAACGGTTACTTTGTTTTGTGCAACACCCGGTTTTGCTCAACATTCATGAATTAGTAAACAAACCAGTTTGGCCTTAGGAACCAGGCAACGTAGCCAAGAATATTATCGATATTTGCATTCGAATTTATGAGAAACTATGCGGTGAAACGAATTGTTGATGTAGTTAAAAGGTTAGTAGATTTCTCTTCTTAGCTCGCCAGGGTATTTATTTTAATCCTGTCTGATTTTGATAGGGTTGCATTGCCTCACGATTCACTTGTAAGACTTCGAAAAGTTGTACAGTTTCCTATTCTACAACTTGTGCCCTTGATTTCGACGTGGACTTTAAACCATAACAATTTGATACGTGTTCAGTCTTACATAATATCGATCGCCGGCAAGTTTTAAATTAAATAAATTTGATCTAAGATACAGAAAATTTGACTATTTCAACCAAATATTCTCCTTGCGTGAGGATTAATACAGGTGTGACAATGAATTTTTTTTATTTAAATCAAGTTTCTTTGTGAAGTACGTTGAGTTATAGCACATTTAGGCTTACAGCTGTGCATTCTGTAGTATGATTTTCAATTGGTACGATGAATGAAACAACGAATTCTCATTGTCTAACTGGGTTCGAAGAGAAAATTATGAAAAACTGGTCAGTTTGGGTTAGATATAACGGTGGGTGAAAATATGTGAATTGGTGTTATGTTGTACCCAGGTTGATTTGATTTTAAGCAATCAATTGTCTAATGTTTCACATCTGGTTCTTTGGTGCAATATATTCCTTCCAAAATATGTGTTTTATTAACCCTCTCTCTCCTAAGATCTCATTAGTAATTCTCCTTACTGCCTGCTTTACAATTATTGTGATGCTAGCTCTGAGCCAAATTTGGTTTTGGACCAACAAATAATCTCCTACTTGATATTTGTCTTTATTCTCATCACTTGTCGGCTGGATATCGTACTGATATTGTAAGTAGAAGTTATGTCCTGGTCACTTGTGGGTATTAAGCAAAAGGAGGGAAATCACCAAAGGAAGTTTATAAATCAATCATTTATTCTACTGTTTTCAAAGAATGCACAACAAAAAACTGCAAGCACCAGTCTAGCATTAAAATTGGGCAGCCATAGCAAATAAACGTGCACATGAAGAATGTGGACATAGAAAATTAACTTAATGTCACGCTGTAAGATACGAAAAATAAATGTGGTGCTTTTAAAATCTCCTGAAATTTCATCAGGTTTTAGTCAGGAGTTGTTATTATTGTTATTATTTTTCTAGACTTTCCTTCGATCAACTTGGCAAATATTGAGTTTATAACTTTTATTGATATTCTAGGAGAGCTGTACTGTGCTGTAGAGCTGTGAATCCAAACTTTATGTCTGTATCAAGTACTCAGGTTTGTTCATCAGAACAACAATTCAGCTATACTGAAAAGGACTTCTACTGGCGTTGCCGTAATCATAATTGTGATGAAATACAAAATGAGCTGACAATAAGCAAGGTAAGGTCATATACAATATTATACACATGTTTGCCAAACTGCTAGGGCCCATCTGCCATGTGATAGAGATCCCCATATGTAGTTCATTTCTCTAGTTATATTCAACTTGATAGAGCTTGCATTGAGATGTTAGTTGGTTTTCTAGTTCGATGAGGAGCTACAAAAAAGCTGGAATGCGGCTGTGAATGCAGGTTATTTTACCTACAAATTGGATCATACAGAAGGAAGGATTGCACTTGGAAAATATCATTTGTATATCCAGGTATTTCAACAGATGAATGCAATTACTACTAGAATACATATACATGATTTTATTTCCAAACAGGGCAAACTGAAATACTGGTATCTGCCTCTGATAGCAAAAAGTTTTGAGTTCTGGATTTCAAAAGAGTGCTTCAGCAGTAGAATATACTGACAAGTAACAGTGATCATGTGTTCAGTACACTCTTAACCCTTTAACTCCCAGAAGTGATTAACACGTAACTTCTCACTATAATACCAATACATTATCCAGCAAGCAGGTAATAAGAATATTCAAACTTATCAGGTTAAAGACTTTGTTATCTTGATCTAACACCAAATTCTTGCAGCTATTTTACAAGGAAATGTGT